TTATGTTGTGTACGACTCTTCGTGACCCCATGGACCAGAACACGCCAGGCCCTCCTGTCTTCCACTGCTTCCCAGAGTTGGGTCAAAGTCATGTTGGTAGCTTCTATGACACTGTCCATCCATCTCATCCTCTGTCGTCCCCTTCTTCTCTTGCCTTCACACTTTCCCAACATTGGGAGGGTCTTTCCCAGGGAGTCTTCTCTTCTCATGAGATGGCCAAAGTACTGGAGCGTCAGGTTTAGGATCTGTCCTTCCAGTGAGCACTTAGAGTTAATTTCTTTCAGAATGGATAGGTTTGATCTCCTTGCAGTCCAGGGGACTCTGAAGAGTCTCCTCCAGCACCACAATTCAAAAGTATCCATTCTTCGGCGGTCAGCCTTCTTTATGGTCCAGCTCTCACTTCCATACATCGCTACTGGGAAAACCATAGCTTTGACTATTCGGACCTTTGTCAGCAAGGTGATGTCTCTGCTTTCTAAAATGCTGTCTAGGTTTATCCTTGCTTTCCTCCCAAGAAGCAGGCGTCTTTTCATGGCTGTTGTCACCATCTGCAGTGATCATGGAACCCAAGAAAGTAAAAATCTGTCCCTACCTCCATATATTCCCCCTCTGTTTGCCAAGAGGTGATGGGACCAGTGGCCATGATCTTTGTTTTTTATATATATATATTGAGCTTCAGACCATTTTTGCGCTCTCCTCTTTCACCCCCGAGGTTCTTTAATTCCTCCTTACTTCCTGCCATCAGAGTGGTATCACCTGCATATCGGAGGTTGTTGATATTTCTTCTGGCAATCTTAATTCCGGTTTGGGATTCCTCTAGTCCACACTTTCGCATGATATATTCTGCATATAAGTTAAATAAACTGGGGGACAATATACAGCCTTGTCGTACTCCTTTCCCAATTTTGAACCAATCAGTTGTTCCATATGCAGTTCTAACTGTTGCTCCCTGTCCCACATACAGGTTTCTCAGGAGGTAGATAAGGTGGTCAGGCACGCCCATTTCTTTAAGCACTTGCCATAGTTTGCTGTGGTCCACACAGTCAAAGGCTTTTGCATAGTCAATGAAGCAGAAGTAGATCTTTTTCTGGAACTCTCTGTCTTTCTCCATAATCCAGTGCATATTAGCAATTTGATCCCTAGTTCCTCTGCCCCTTCGAAATCCAGCTTGTACTTCTGGGAGTTCTTGGTCCACATACTGCTGAAGCCTGCATTGTAAGATTTTGAGCATAACCTTGTTCATATAACCTCCACCAATTGTTTCTTGTAGATGTTTAAAAATGGGGGGGGGGATAAAACAGGGCTATAAGGAACCCCATGCCACAAGTCCCATGGTGCAGAGCAAAAAATTGCCCAGCACCACTTTCTGAAATGAGATGTCAAATGCTCTGGGATTAGAAGGGTTTGATTCTCACTCTTTTCGATTGACAACATGATGTAAAAGTCGATGCAAATCATACTAGAGTCTCCCCCTACCAAAAATCCATAGGATTTTTTTCCCCTCCACTGCTGGAGTGTCTAATTCTCTCTTCCGCCCCTTCCCCCATTAATTCAGACACCTTTGTATCAGGCAGTGTGATTGCTTGAATTCAAGTGAAAGGGTTTGCAGCCACTGTTAATCCAAACCATTCTAGCTGACTCTAGCAGCATCAAGAGAGGCAGGGAAGCAGGGAAACTGGCTGCAATTTGAATCCTTTCCTCCTTACACCTGGTACCTGTGCTTTCATCTTCCTTTCCCACTCTGTTTTTCTTTTCTGTTCTTGGCTTGGGAAGAGGGAAACAAGCAGACCTAGGCACCAGGTACAGAGAGGGGAAGATTCAGACAGTTAAAAATTGCAAAGAAGGCTGATTTTATCCTCTCCCCCCCCCCCCCTCTCTCTCTCTGCTGACTCCTTTGGGGTTGGCTGAAGCAAATTAACCCCACCCATCTGGGAGTTCGTTGATCATTTTGAATGGAGGCAGAAAGGAAAGACCAAGCAAGCACATGGGCACACGCCCTTGAAGTAGTGCTTTGGCAGAGCATCTTCTACCCTCAGCTCTTCTCTCACAAGGTGGAAGGAGAGCCCAGGTGTTACCTGCACACATACACATCAGCAACACCAGCACTCAACTCTTTCTACAAGCCTCTCTCCCAAAACACTTCTCTTTCTTTTTTTAAAAAAACATTTTATTCGTTTTTCAATCTATCTACATTCAATTCATGCTTGTTAAACATTATGTTACATGAGTTGCTTATAATTATTCGTTTTTTGCGTCTTGGTATCTTCTTAGTTGTCCCTTCAAAATCTATATATTTTAAAACATTTAAACCATTCATGTGTGTATTTTAGTGTACAATAGTGGCTACTATAATAATATTGCTCTCATAGTATACAATGTTCTCAAAATAATCAAATAACATACCATTGTCTATGCTTCAGTTCAGTCTTCCCAAAAAAAGGGGGAAAAGAGAAGAAGTCCAAACTGCCATAGAGTGTTCAAAGTCATTGTTCTAGGCTTTTTGCCAATGCTGAAGATAGCTGCAGCCATAACATAAACAAGTTTAACTTCCAGAGTTGTTTAGCTAATGATGAATTTAAGAGAAAGATTCTTAAGTTTCTAACAACAAAGTAATACTAAACTTCCTTCCTTGAAGTATAATTAAATGTCTTATT